TTTTATGGATGTGAATATCCCTCTTGCCTCTAAGTGGGCTATATACATAAAATGTAAGTTAATGTCAAGTTTATAACAAAAACTTTTTAAATATTTATTATTAAATTGTTGCCAATTGCTAGTCTTTTTGCGGTGATGGTTGGTGTTGAGGTACATGGTTTTATTAAGTGGTCAGATGATTTCATGATCAAAAACCCAAATTCTAATTGAATAGATGATGGCTTATAGTTCCTAGAATCTAGTTGTATGAGACAAGGAACCTCTAAAGGATTGGCTTACATTAAAATCAAGCACATGTATGATAGTCCTTTAAAGTTGTCAAAAACTCTATTGCCAAATACTTTTGAAATCAAAGATATTAAGAGATAGATTGTAAATCTCTTAAAACTTGATTTTTTTTTAAGGGACTGAGTGCAGTAGTGATATTATAACTAAATAAAATAAAATTTTGTATCTCTATCATATAAATTATTATTAACGAGATCAATTCTTTACCGTTAAAGATAATATTGAGAAAATGACGTGTATGGTTTAGAGTTGGTGATTAGAGAGCATGCACATAATTTTGTTGGTCTTTGGTAAGGATTCAAAGCTGAATAAAGAAAAGAAAAAAGACTGAATGGATAGATAGGAAATATATTAATTAAATTAATCATACTTTACAAACACTTAAACATCAATCACTTCCTAACATTGAATTTGAAGTAAATGAAAAGAGATGTAAAAGTCAAAGCAAATTGAGAGGGAAAAAATCCAAAAACATGTTAGTTAGAATTTCTCTGAAATTTCAGAGAAGTGGGACCTAGGGTTTCACATAAGCTACCCAACATTTTCAATTCACTGAAAAATCAAAAATCAAAATAGTAAAGAAAAGAAAGTTGAGAGTTTGTGGAGGAAGCATGTGATATTGAATTATTGAACTTTATAGCAATTAGTATACCAATGGCATCTTCTGTCAAAATTAGAAGCCTCTCTTTAATGGGCCACCAAAGTCCTTCTCCTCCACCAAGAAACTCTATACTTAATTCAACAAACCAATGTGTATATTGATCAAGACCCATCTGAAAAAAGAAAAAAAAAAAAGTTTTTTCTTTACGTGAATTTTCAAAATTGTAACATCAATCCAAAAGGGTGTGCAAATTTTGGTAGTGGTGTAAGTTTGGGTAAAGTGACGAGGCATAGGAGAAAGATGATAGAGATAGTTCATGTATAATTATAGAGAAGGAATAGTATAATTAGCTTATTAAGACTGAGTAGAGATTTAAACCAAAATGGTTATTTTTATTTTGGAAAAATAATTGAAAGAGGAATGGGTTTGGTAAAGAAATTATTAGAGGGTGAATTAGGGCTGAAATGATAAAAAGCATTCAACAACTTGAAAACGACTCTTCTGTATGCTTACAGTCAAAGGTTGTTAAATTAAAAGTTGAAAACAGAAACTCATATAATGAAAGCCTGTGACTTTATGTGTATAAGTATATATATATATATATATATATAGACAGAGATGAATTGGGTTATATAATCTTTGAAGTTTAGGAAATGGGCTTGGCCAATTATCTACAAGTCCTTGACAATGAGCTGAAATAGTCCTAGAAGTATACAAAACAAACTGTGATAGATTAGCATGTGAGGTATGCCCAGAGCCTTATCTCAAATTGCAAATTACATTTTTCCACTGCCTAATTTTCAATTTCTTTTTTCTTAAAAAAATTTATATAAGATGGAGGATAGTACAAAGTTTAAGACAAAAATAAAGTAACATAATATTCCCATGCAATGAATATAATGTTAGAATCTACTTTAATATATGAAAATGAATATAATTAATCAAAAAAAAAAATAAGAGAAAACAAATGAAGGGCAAGAAACAAATGGAATTTTAAAGAAGTAGCTTTTTTTTTACTTGTTGCAGGTAAAAGAAAAGAGTAGCAAAAAATGTCAGATCAGAGAAAGAGAGTTTGTTAAATTGAATCTTCTGCTTCTGGTTGTGGGAATGATTGTAGGGTTTTTTTTTTTTTTTTTTTTTTTCCTTCTGTTCTTTTCTTAGGGTTGTCAAAATTACAAACACAACGAATATTTCCCTCTTTACTCATTACTCTTTTTTAACTTCTCCTGTTGTTGTTTTCTCCAACTTTTACCAGCTTTTTCCTTCATCTAATTTTCTAAATATTCCTTTCTTTCTTCTTTTTTCTGAAAACTAATGATGCATGCTTCTCTCTTTCTCTCTTCTTTTTTCCCTTTTTTGTTTTTCTTATAATCTCCTTTCTAGCTAAGAAAATAACTAAGAGAAAATCGAGCAGACCAAAATGAAGAAGCATACAAATATTGTAACTTTGTGCTTTGAGAATTGATTAAAAAAAAATTACAACCTTGTGATCCCAAAATTGGTTAAAAGACTAAAAGAAATATAATCAAACAAAAATTTCTTTGGCAAATGAACTATATGATAATTAACATACCAACCAATGCCATTTGATTAAATTTTCGATCTAACTTTGTCTCTAACCTCTCTCCTTAGGATCTTCCCTGAAGCTGATTTTGGGATATGAGCTACGAAACTTACCTTACGCAATCTTTTGAAGGGTGCAACCTATATACACCAGAAATCCATCAAAAATAAATTCTTCAAATCCTATTTAATTATATTTTAACTCTATTTAGATTTTTTTTTTTCGTTCTTCTCTTGCTTACTTGATTTGCTATTAATTTCATAATATCATCTTCATTTATCGAGCTATAGGAAGAGCGAACCACAAATGCAATTGGTATTTCACCAGCTTTAGCGTCTGGAAATCTACAAATAAGATCGAAAGTTTAATCAATTTATTTATAAAATGGGTAAAAAAAAATTATATATATTTGAACTTACGGAATTACGACAGCGTCTGTTATTTCACGATGAGAAAGTAGCAATTTTTCAAGTTCTGCACGTGCTACCTAATAAAATATAAAATAATTAATTATCTCAATAATTTTGAGATAGTTTATTATTTATATTTACAAACAACTATGTCATAAAATGAAAGTTAAATTTCAAA